GGGGGGAGATACGGGGAACCGATCACAATGATCCAACTATAACCACCCCTCATGGGAATGGACAACAGAAAAGTGGGTGAAGGGTGACATTGGTCAGTGTAAGACCTGAAAAAAAATAATTTGTAAATTATCAAGGGTTCATGAGGGAGGGAGGGGGGGTGGGAAATGAGAAGCTGATACCAAGGGTTCAAGTAAAAAGAAATGTTTTGAAAATTATGATGGCAACAAATGTACAAATGTGCTTGACATGATGGATGGATGGATTATGATAAGGATTGTATGAGTCCCCAATTAAATGATTTAAAAAAAAGAAACAAACAAAAACAAAATAGTGGCTTCTGAAGCATCTGTTGGGCCAGCTAAATTCAGGGCAAAGAGATCAGCTCAGTGGATTAGGGCATCATTTTGGGGGGATCCCCAAGAGCTAGATTTCCTGGAAGAACATAGGATGATCTTGGGAGTTTATTGAAAAGAAGTTTTATGAAAATGGAAAACTGCATTGGTAAGAAAACATCAGGAATACTGTGCCAAGGAATTTTTTCCCCCATCAGAGCACCCGTTCATTCTTTTGAGTATAGCAAGGGTTATTCTACATGAATTTAGTCGGAAAACCTTACCATATCTACCATGCTGCCCTCATTTTCCCCATTTAGACTTATCTTTGTTCCCTAAACACCAGAACAGTTAAAACAAACATGATTTGAACCCCTCAAGGATGCCAAAGCTGTCGTTTTGACATTTCAAAATTGAAGAGTTCAGAGCTCTTTGACGAAGACTTAGAGAAGTGGAAATATCACCTTCAGTAGTGTATAGATCTAGATGGGGAATATGTTGAAAGGCAATAGTTTCACATATTGAGATCTTTATTTAATGTTTCTACGATTTTATAGCAATACATTTTTACTTTGAAAATTTTCCTTTGAAAATTTTCATAGCAAATTAGAGAATTACAATGTAAAATAATTTTTTTAGTCTCATCAAGAATACCATGTTAGGAAAGGGGGGACCGATTACAAGAATCTACTTATAGCCTCCTCCCTGGGGGATGGACAGCAGAGAAGAGGATAGAGGGAGACGTCGGACAGTGTAACTTATGAAAAAACTATAATAATTTATGAATTATGAAGGGTTCATGAGGGAGGAAGGAG